TTCAGTGAGTAGTAGCTTATCTGCTTCAGCTCAAGAGGTGATGTATTAGACATGTTATGGTGTTTGTCATATTGTCTGAAATTTGTGACCCTTCATGCGAAAAGGGGGCTTATGAATTTCACTAAAAACAGTGAATTTTTTTCACAGTCACGGTGTGTAAATTAGAGTTTTCACGGCGTGAATTTCAAATTCCACGCTCGTTCACTCCATGCGAGAATTTTTCACTCTTGGCGTGAAACTCATCATGTTGCGACAGATCAGCGAAGACTTCCACGCCGTGATTATTAACCGGTGTAAACTTTCACGCTGTGAAATTAAGAGTGAACACATTTTCACGCCGTGAAACATGTTGAGGGTGAATGAAATCTAACCTGTTTTTTTGTTTTGTGTTTTTTCTCGCCCCTTTTCGAACTGGAAAAAACGAGAATACCTGGTCACGTCAAGCTAAATTTGCGGAAGTTGATGCCACGCAAAAAATAATATTTCTCTCAGCATATTCAAGCCGTTTTAAATAGCTCATGAAAAAAAATAATTAAAAAAAACGTATTCAGACTATTCCGCGTTCAGGCCTGTAAAGCCACAAATCACAATCAAACTAGTCACAATTTCTTGTCGATATTTTTATGTGTTCATGGAAAGTATTTTATTAGATATGCACGATCGGAATTGCGTGTGTTTCATGTCGATTTGTTTACATTGTCTGTAACTGCAACAGTCGGTGACTTTTGGCTCTTTTTTTTCTTCTCCGCAATGTGCAAATTTTCCTAATGACGATGTCAGAGACGCTTAGTTATTTACCAAACATGGCAAAGTTTTCACTTAAGAAACCTAACAAAATTCTTTGCGGAAAGACTGACTATTACTGCCATTCTTAAAACCGGGATAATTGTCGTCGGTGTCAATGCGCATTGCAATGAAGTGCCTGATCTTATCTACAGTTTTGTAGCCCCATCACATGTGCAAACTCTACTTGATTTATCATGCTCCATTTTAAGTTCCTTGTCTCCTTGCTAAATGTTATACTCAAAATTTCACTGTTACAACAATCTGAACAGAAGGGTAAAAATGAAATAAATCCAAAAGATATCACGCAATATCAAAACATGCGTTACATATTTCATCTTGTCGCCACGGAGTCTAGCATTTGCATAACTTCGTGGAAGAGATAAAAGCTTCTTTTGGTTGTAAATTTAGAGAATCTTCG